TTCCTTGTTTGCAATTGAGATTGCTAACCACATTCGTATTAATGATAACACATTGCTTTTTAACTCTATTTTACCATCTCTCTATAACTGCCTCACTATATAAAATGTGCCACTGTGAACTAAGGAGATTTGAATTTCTGTGTTTCTGAGATTAAATTAAGTGAATTTTAAAAAATGATGTCCAGAATTAAAACAGACAGTTGGACATGTTCAGCGTGGTTCAATACTCTTAAATTCTATAATTGCTCCTTGTTTTTCTAATATATCCTTAATCACATTTTCTAATCAATCCACAACCAAATTTCCCCTTTCTTATCAGCATTAAAAAAAATTCAGAGCAAGTAATAACAAACTGTTTAGCTGTGAAAACTTCGTACATCTATAAGAATAGGCTCACAAGATTAAAAATAAATGAGCTACATAGTTTACAACAAAATCACAATATAACCAGCACAAATGAAAAAGAAGAAAAATTGACTTTACTATTCAATTGTCAATTTTAAAAAATATAAAATAAAACATAGACCCCATTTAGAGAGGGATAAAAAAAAATAGCCATAATGCTGCCTTTCCATAATCTGCACCCAGAACATGTGTCGAGCACATTTATCAAGCGTGATAGATTTCAAATCACTTTTTTAAAAAAACAGTTACACTGAAAGCAACTGTGAGCTAAAATTTTTGTAATTCATTGTATAGATCACATTTACATATACTTTATATTTTGTAGAACTAACCTCTGAATTTCATCGCAATATCTTTATTGAACAATAATTTGCTTCAAGGCCAGAGATTTAGCTTAGCAGCACAAATGCCTCCCTAGCAAGCACCAAGTCTTGAGTACCATCCTGGGTACCGAAATAACAGCCATAATAATAAAAATAATAATCATAATTTGCTTTAATATATACAGATGAAACAATCAAAACTTATAGACATAACATTTTTAAATTAAAAATAAAAATAGCTTCAAGCTGTCTTAAAATTAATGAGTCAGACATATTACAAATCATTGCCAAGAAATTATAACTCCTTGCGCTGGTTCCCATTTGCCATCATTACAGGACAATCCATAGAACAACTTACAAATATTGAGATGTGTTATGTACGTGTACCAACTTCCCACAAGGAATGTAAACATTATGCACTATACACATATACTAATAAACTAAACTAAAATAAAACATCTTCTATTTTTTAAAAAGAAAAATTATTTAAAAATCAGACAAGTTTAAAAAACTTTCTTAGGGCAATTATTACACTTTAAACAGATACATTTTGAATAGCATAAAACTTACGTAATTTCAGGTAACCAGTTAACCGATCACCTGTGATTCCTACCGCAACACCAAGCATTTCAAATGAAAGATTCTCTCAATAAGTTTAGAAAAATTCCCATGGCATCAAGTGAGAAGGCATTTCAAAATCAAATTAATATGCCAAAAAAGAATCCCAAGCCATGCAAATACTATAAATTAGTAATGGAGCTAAAATTATTACTGTGGCTTTATTATTTTTAATTCTCCTTTTGCATTCTTATTAAATATGTATTGACATTTCCTCTTCTGATTTAATAAGACTCTCTGATTCATAAGACAGAGCAAATGTTATATCCCACAAATGAAAATAATGATGAATACACTGTGAAATATAATTCTCTGGTTTTGCTCTCTGGAAATTTAAGTTTGCTTTGACAATGTGGAAACCAATTTAAAATGTGATATACCCTACCAAAGAAAGTTCGAGAAAACAGGAAAACAGTCCCAAATAGTAAGATGTTCAGCTGATAAGCTTGAAAACTTAAGACCTGATATAAACTCTCTCTAGAAAATATATATTCATCTGCAGTTTGCAACAGATTTAAAGCAGTATTCGGGTTTTGTTTTGTTTTGTTTTGTTTTTTGGTACTGGGGATTGAACTCATAACTTCAAGCTTGCCAGGCAGGCAGTTATGCCATTGAGCTAAATCCCCAGCCCGGAAGCAGTATTCTTTTAGTGTTTTCCTGATAGTGGTCAAAATGTCTCTTCATATATTTGAATAACAATAACCATACTCTGAGAGAATTTAAACATTTTTTAATGGTTCATACTTTCCTATTTTCACCACCAGCAAAAATGATCACAAAGCTCTCCTTTGAATTTTTTAAATGGTCAATATAAACATGTATGTGCACATTAAAGAATAGTAATCAAAAGACGAATTTTGCACTAGGTTCACTCCTCGCGCATCCTCTTTTCCCATAGTCCTCTTTCAGTCCCTTCAAGAAAACCATCATCTTGAATTTTCTGTTAATCATTCCCTTTGTTCCTTTACACTTTTAAAAAATCAATGCAGGTATGCCTAGGTAGTATGTTTTCTCAATTTTGCCAATTTTAAACCGTATTTAAATAGGATACTACTATAAAATTCTTCAAAGATAGTTCAAAATTTTTATATTCATCCATGGAAATGTCAGTATCTTATGGCTTTCATCTTCCCAAATGAATGGTACAATATAGTATAAATATATCATGGTGTGATATTGAACTGTTGGTAGACATTTGAGTTATCTCCAATTTTAAGCCATTATGAAAATTACTGCTATGAATAGTATATGTGAGTTCTGTTACATGTGTCTGAGTATTTTGCTAGAGCAAACATCTAAGGGAGGAATTGGTAGTTTGTAGAATATGCACGTTATATTTTCCAACTGCCGAGTGAATCCTCACCAGCTGGGAGTGAGACCTCCTACTGCTTTGGGTTCTCATAGATGATTAGATTGTGAGACCTCAAAAGATGGATATAACTAAAACTCGGGAATTCTGTGTCAGTCATAGTATTAATTTATATTAATCCAAATACTGATGAGACAAACCGAAAATAATGTTATTGGTGATATGCAAAAAATAGTCCACTAATTTGTAGCCGTTGTTTACTCTTTTTAGGTGTTCCTTGATGAACAAAAAAATTTCATGTAGTAATATTCACACATATTCTTTTATGCAATGTTTGAACTGAATAGTTCACAAAAATATCTTCCTCTACTCTAAGTAAAAATTTAAGTAATTACATATTTATAGTGTCACAGTATGTCATTTCACATTTAACTCACCCAAAACTGATTTATATATAGATTGTTCACAGAGTAGAGAAACAACCTCAATTTTTTTCACATGGATAGGTAGTTAAAACTCAAAAAAGAATTTATTGAGTTGCTATCCTTTCCCCAATGATTAACATTACTTTAACAATTTGTCAAATGTTCCTGTTCTCTAATGTACTATAGTCTCATTAAGATGTATTTAGAATATCTTTTGTAGAACTCTTTAACAATACTGTGTCTGACAAATGATTGATATCTTAATAATTCCAGGAGGAAAATTCGTTTTTTGCATTCTCTGTGTATCTATTTGGAATCCCAACAGAATGTTTGTTGCAAACTTCCACTCTAATTCTAGCATATATTTTACACATTTCCTCATTGTCAGTTCTTGAGCTCAATCATTGAGAATTTTTCAGTTCTAATTTTTAGTGTATGAATTCTTGCTTCATCTTTATCTATTTGTGTTTGTCTACTGAGCTTCACCTCTTTTTTAAAGTATGTGATTCTTTAGAAGGTGTCTGGTTGTTTTTCATATTTACTTCATCCTTTCTTTTATTTCCCAGCTTCTCTTTTGTTTCTTTAAGTGTATTTAATATTATCAGATTAAATCTGCATCTGATAATTTTGATATCCGAAAGCACTACACATCTATTTTTCTTCATGCATGCTTCCAACTGACTCTGAATCATCATACTTTTTCTTTTTTGCATGTTTTTTTTTTTTTGCTATTGTTTAGTTTGATGCTGTTTGTTGTTTAAGTATTTGCTACTCACTTTACAGAGCATTTTACTGTGAGCATTCATTGAGGATATAATGGAAACATAACTTCCAGGAAGGAACAAAATTTTCCAATTTTCCAACTATATTGCTGATTACAGAGCACCGAATTTAAATTCATCAACTTAAGTTTTTAAATCTATACACAGTGCAATCACAGCATCTTAACCTTTCCTCTAACTTCAATTATGTGCTTAATAGTCTTTTAAAAATACTTTCATTTTAGACATAGCATTTTAATAGTTGTTATCATAAATGCCACTCAGAGTATCTAATTTGGCATAATACTAGAACTAGAATTCACACATATTTTGTGCCCTTGTTCCCCCTTCATTTCTTTCTTACCTATAATTGGTGGGTTGTTCTAAAAGGGCTGCTTTGAATCCTCTGCATACAATATTTCTGGTTTACAAACCATCAGCAATAATGATGGCTCTGGTATTTGTCCTGGGAGTCTGGTAGAAACGCCAGTAGATGACCTCAACTATTGCCAGAGATTGCAGAAAGCCACTGATACAAAAATATGTACAACCATCCAGTGCTATATTTTTCCTCTTGAGTTCTTAAATTTCATACAGACCATTTGTACTCTTACCTACAAGATACTTGTCCTTCTTTTCCTTGCTTCTGATTTATTTTTGGGCTTTTTCCTTTTCCTTTTTTCATTTTATTTATTTTGAGACAGTCTTGCTTTGTAATTCGGGCTGACCTTGAATTCACTATGTAGCCGAGACTGGCCTGGAGCTTATGGAAACCTTCTTGCTCATTCTTCGTGAATGCTGGGATTTCAGGTATGCACCAGCACTCTCGAGTAGTGTACTAGTTACTTTTCTGATTATCTCTCAGACTCTTGTTCCAATGTATTGACTTGGTCACTAACATTAAATTTTCCTTGGCCTAATCATGTAGTTCTTTGTTTTATGGTAATTAATTCCTTCCACATGCCTATTTCTATTTTTGTACCATACTCCATTTTTTATTTCCTGGATCTGTGAGTTATTACTAGTCATTCTTTGTCCTCTTTCAGTACCTGACTGATATACATTTATAAATTACAGTAAAAGAATTCAGAAGAAAATTTCTGGTCTCCTTTAGCAAAAGGTGCATGTACCACTCATACCAGATTGTTGACAAGGTTACCTGAATTGGTCTTCCGTCAGGTGTCAGTACCTCCTCTGAAAGTTCCATCATCTTCAAGGCCATCAGAGCGATGGGTTTGGCATGGCAGAGGCTTTTCCTGTGCAGTCCTGCTGCAACACAGTATGCATCACCTATTGTTTCCACCTGCAGCAATCAGATGAATCAAATGCAAACATATGATAATGTCTCCACAGAAATAATTAGTTATTTGCAATCACAAATGCTGCTGAAAAACATGTCAGGAAAACATCAACGAATTAGGCAATTAGATAACTGCATGTAATCACAGCAGAGTTTACAAACAGCTGCAATGAAATACTGACATCTCACTCTAGGGCTGTTCATTATAACCATAGCTGATCATTGAAATTAGGAACAACTGAAATATAAAGTAATTATTCCCCACAAAAATAAAATCATCAGTATTTACCAGATAACTTCCAAATCATGATCCTTTCAACAGCTTCCATCTCATTTTCTTCAAACTTTCAATACTCATACTTTGAAAACCTTGATTTTCTGAATTTTTCCACCTTCCAAATTGGTACATACACACACACACACACACACACACACACACACACACACACACACAAATCTGTAATTTGCTATAATTCACTGTCAGGTTTGCTTCCCACTTATTTTTTTTAACAGTTGTGATACTTAAAATTTCTTAAATTCATGCTCAATGCTATTGTATCAAGCATTTTATGTATATTACAGTATGTCTCGTTTTTATCAAGGCTATTTTAAAAAAAATAGAAGAAACTAGTATAAATTATGTTTGAGAGATAAATTGAGCTATAGGGACCTAACCATGACCATACAAACAGTTAATAAAGTCTTGAGGACCTTTCCAGATCTTATTTTAAATCTGTCATCAGCATCTATCCTGAATGACCATTCCTGCTGTTAAATACTTAAAATATCTGCCCCAGATTAAAGTTCCCAAATTTCCAAAGCAGACAACAGTGTATAAAAGTTAGACATAACTTATCTTCAGAGAAAAATGCTCTAATGATATGCTCTAGATATGGTGGTAAATCCTCAATAGTTGTATTATTAATGAGAATGATGTGATAAATAGTGTATTAAATGTCCAATTCCTATATCACATTTTCTGTGAAGCAATCAATGGGTCTTTCATTAATTCATAATAAAAAGAACAGATCTTTTTCACTATTTTGTTTCAAAAGAATTTCTTTATCTTTCTGCAACCACTCTTACCATAGGCCATAATCAATTTTACCTATGTATAAATAATAAGGACATCCAGTAAATATGGCAGATAGATAAGAGTAGAATAGACAGCCTCCGGAGACAGACAACTCAGATGCCAAAATAACACATTGTGTGGAATCTTAGACAGAAAGAGGTAGATCCTCTTGACCCAAGAAGAAACTAGAGTGAAAAGAACCAGTCAAACATGCAGTCCTGGGGCTACTATTGAGGTAGCTAAGATTCTGTCTTCTTGCAGGCCCAAATTCCCACTACTTCGACTCGCTACAACCCCAGTTGCACTGAAAGGCAGTTGCACTGAAAGACAGTCACACTGATGTCAGTAAACCCAACGGAGAATGGAGCCGGCAAGAGACCAGCATTGACCTACAGTGAGTGCCAGGAATAAAACCATTCCACGGGAAAGGGGCACCAACAGGACAACATTTTGGAATCCGGCAGGACTAGCAAGAAGGAACAGCAGTGACTTCAGGCAGTTTTCTCTTCCCATACGAGATTGGTGGGGTATGCTTGGCCTGGGTCAGGCCCCTGGCTGTGACCCAGTAGATTTCCCCAAAACAATTCTCCACGCACAGCGCACACTAACACAGTGAAGGCCTTAGCAGGTTGACTGATCTGGAGAGAGGAACCAGCATACACCACCCACAACTCAATTACACACTGGAGTGGGCAGGATCACATAGCCAGCATGTTTTAGAAGAACCATACCCAACAAGGAAAGGGAGTGGGACCTCCTCTATACTCCAGTATGGAAGAAACAACAAACATGAGAAGAGGAAGCAACAAGTAAAGTCTCCAGCCCCAACCCTGAGAACATTGATCCAGGAAAGATAAATACAAAAGAGATTGAGGACAGCAAACATGCAATATCAGACACCGCATCAGTGGACATAAAGAGATATCTATGGGACCTCACAGATGAGTTCAAAAGTGAAATATTGAAGCAAGACATAAGTAGACTAATAAAAAAATGTTAAGTGCCTCTCAAGAAGACACAGATGGAAGAATTGAAGAACACAAAAAAGGGAGAGAAATGCTTGATGAAGAATATAAAGAAAACATAGACTACATGAAGGAGGTTCAAAGAAATTACCAGTAAATAAAAAACTCCATTGAAAGCTGGCAAAACTGCTTGAAAGAAACTAAGGATATATTATCCAAACTGTAAGACAGGTTTGCAATGTGTCATAATGAAAGGAAAAATTTCTTAAAAATAACAAGGAAACAGGCAGTAAAATACAAAGGTTAGAAGACAAGAGGATCTATAACTTAAGAATAAAGAATGTGAATGAAGAAGCAGGGAAACAAAGAAAGGAACTGAAAAGGCTATTCACAGAAATAATTAAGGAAAATTTTCCAAGCATAGGAAAAGGAAACGATATTCAGATGTATGAGGCATACAGAACTCCAGCTACCTACAACCAAAACAGAGTTACACGCAGGCATATGATAATCAAGATCCCAGAAATTCAATATAAGAACAGAATATTAAAAGCCATCAGAGAAAAGAAATAGATCACCAATAAAGGAAAACTCATCAAAATCATGGCAGATTTCTTGACACAGACCATCAAATCAAGAAGAGCCTGGAGCAAAGTATCCAATCCCTGAAAGAAAATAACCTCCCCAGATCGATCTATCCTGAAAAACTGTTTCTAGCAATTAATGGAGAAACAAGATGCTTCCAAGACGAAGAGGAAATGAGGGAAATCGCGACCACCAATCCAACTATACAGAGAATACTGTAGGACACTCTAGAGAGAGGAAAAAGTACCAGTATACTAGGAACAGTGGCAGAGAGGCCTCAATGAATGGAGCAGAAAGTGGAATGAAGGAAAAAGTAGACAACTAATGGCAGAAAAAGAGCACAACAGAAATGAGGCAGAGAAGGTTGGCTATAATTTCTAATATAGATGGCCTTGATACACTAAAAACAAAGAAAGAGAGACAGAGAAGGTTGGCTATAATCTCTAATACAGATGGCCTTGATACACTAAAAACAGAGAGAGAGAGAGAGAGAGAGAGAGAGAGAGAGAGAGAGAGAGAGAGAGAGAAACACAGGCGGAATAGATCTAGAAAGTAGGGTCCACTGAGAGGCTCTGTATAGGAAATATAATTAACCTGATTTTATAGACTTGAAAATCAAGTATGAGAAAAACAATGCTCTATGTGACAGGGAACCAGAGAGTAATAGGGGCAACTAGACCAGCATTTGTGGATAGGTTGGAAAGACATGCTTTAATAGGAAAAGAATACCACTAGAGGTCAAGTCCAGGAGGGAGAAGCTTTGGAACCACTTAGATAAATAGCAGGTTGCCCCCTCAATCTAAAAACTGAGGAGTTGGTGGGACCCAAAAATGCACAGTGCACCCTGGGGAAGTAAAAGGGGAGGAATAGTCTTTAAAAAGATGGCAGAAAGTATTGTTAACAGTGTATCAGAAATTAAAACCCATATTACTCACACGGTTCTGCTTAGACAGAATTTATTCTGTCCCAGTTTGTCTACATGCACTAGATCTGAGGGCACAGACAGCTATCTCCAAAATAGCAGGATAGAGCATGGTAATCATCCTTAATCTTCTATTAACTTAATCTCAAGCCCTGTATAACTTACACTGTTTTACCATGACTGATCTTAGTTGAATCTGGTTTGTTAGACTGTTGTTTCAATGGATTTCATTCAAAACTGTTATGATTGATAGTATGAAGTCTGAGAGTATAGGCAACTACAGTGAAGATGACAAGATTCACTATGATACAAACTCTGGTTTGATTATTACCTGTTTTTGAAGTTTTACACTGTCTACAATGTTTTGTTTTTATTAATATGCTATGTACTGTTATATTCAATTATACTATTCCTGATGATATAGAGAATTCTATTGAAGATAACAAGAGATAATACAGTAACAATTGTAAAACCCCTTGTACTGTGGTTTTATATGAATTATTTTTATCCATTTTCTGGGGGTATTTTTGTCTTACTTTAAATAAAATTTAAAAAAATAATAAATAAGCATTCGTATCTGTGATGTGAGCACTTTAAGTGGTTGCCATATATTTTTCATCTCTTCATCCACAAAGCTTAGCACACAGGTATTTAACAATGATTTAAAAAATGAATTAATGGATAACTAATCAGGTTAACCATAATATCAATACCAGTCAATCTAATTATTTGCTTATTTTTATTAGCCATTCATGAGTACCATGGAGATCTTTGTACTATATAGATCCCTCTAAGAAAAATATATGTTCCAATGGCTCATTGATATTTTATTCTATCAACAAAAATTTAATATCAGTAATTAAATTTTGTGTGAATGTATCATAATACCACATTCTTCTTAAAAAGATATCTTAAATTCTTTGAGCAATAACATAGAAATATTATGAAAACACTTAAAAAGTTCATAGGATTACAACTACCAAACTTTATTATCAGAGTCTCATCACTTGATTATCGGTAAATATGCATAAAATGATTAAATACATTCAGATCTATGAAGATACTAAAAAATTTCACCTCAAGACTTGCTTTCTGATGCCAGAAAAATTGAAATAAAATTATGCTTAATTTATGCTGGAAGAATAGAAAGACAATGTAATGTAAGTTGGCAGAAGTTTCATTCCAAATGCTAAAAAAACTCTTACTGAGGAAGTCACTGTGTAAACAATAAATATCTGAAAGTAACTGTTTACCATTTTCCCCTAATAACAATTGTCCACTGCTAATTTTCAAATCATCACATTCTTTCCTAATGTTACACAGTTTTAAAATCTAAAAGCCTATTAATTGAGTAGGTTTGAAATTAACTTCTGATTTTCAGATATAATAATTCCTGGGCAGTAAATTATCTGCACAAATTGAATTGCTTTGTAGTCACTCTGAACAATTAAGTTCC